TCCCAATATTCCCAGACACTCTGCACACATCCAATTTCTCAGACAAGACAGAAGCCTTGCACTGTTCCTGTCTATCACCCTAAACTTACTGCAACACAGAGTGGGGAAAGAAACACCTTTTACTGCAAACAATGGAATTTTCTTATATTTTCCTTAATGAGGTTAGTCCAGTGTAAGAAGGAAACTCTTCTGGTGGAACCATCACTGGGAACATTTCTGTGAATTACAGAAGCAGCCATAGTTACAGTCAAAGAAATTAGTTTTCAGACCTCCAGCTGCTCAAGGACTCAGGCAAGATTCTAGGCATAATCAAAACTAGATCTTTATTTTCTTCTTCATGCAGTAATTGCTTGTAGCTCCAATCCAGAAGCAATCCCTGCCCCCAAAAGCTGATGGCTGGATACACATCCATTTTACCTTGTGATTGCTTTGAAACAAGTCAAAGTAAGACTCCTTGCAAATCCACCCTGGAACAGAGGAGTTTGTGTTTGAAGGCAGATTAGTGCTTGGGTAAAGCATTAGAGGCCAGGGCTTAGAGTCCTGCAGTCCCCTCCCTCTCTAACAAAGCTGACCTGCCTTTAGAGCAACTGGAAAAAATTCACTCTAGCAGTTCACTTGTCTGAAAGGTGCCAACTCCATCAGAATCTAACTGTGCTACTGCAGACAAACTTGTCACACAGGCCTGCCCCACAGCTCAGGTTCCCAAGCTGCATTAAGAGTGTGCCACTTCAGCTCTGAGCTACTTGCACGGACAGCAGCAATATGCACTCTTCAGCTGCTCTTCTTTTTGAGCTCTCAGTCAAGCTTCTTAGAGCACCAACTCTAGGACTGGTCTCTTTCTTTTGGCTTTTAAACCCTTGCCCCATCACGACACAGGGATCACTAGCTGGCCAGGAAATGATAGCTATGTCAGTTCACTACTAAAACAGGACGTGTGGATTTGAGTCTGTGTCTAGTTGTAGAATTTTAAAAGAACTAGTTCACCCTGATGAACCCCCCAGTACAGCACCTTGAAATTCATTTGGTTTCAAGGGAGCATCTAATATCTGAATTTTTATTCTACATAACACCAAAATATATTTCAAGTTCCTCGTATCTGTGAATCACACTGTAATGGACAGACAGACAACTGCCTTCTACACTATTGCCCTTAGTGGGACCCTGGTCATTTGGGTTTTGTACAGTACAACCAGGCTTTGCTCAGTGTCAGTTAAAACAAAATTTCATTAATGCCATGTGCACACAAAATGCTCCAAGGGTATTGAATCCCTGCTGCAACCCTAGGGTTTCACACTACACTTGATTTGAGCCATAAACATATTCAGACCTGGGGTATGTTGCTTCTCATTGACTGGTAGCACCTGACAATCTCTCTCTCTCCATCCCAAGTTCCACAAGACCTATCTCATCCTCTCTTCTTCATGAAAATCAGCAGTCTGCCTGGAGATGGACCTTTGGCAGTCCAGAATACATCTCAGAGGGAAACATTAGCAGAGATGAACACCACAGCTAGAGAAATGCTTACCCATACCAGAGATGTAGTTCTGCATGCTACAACAAAGGGCTATTTTAACTCATGGGAAGCTGTTAAATATTAACCCTGACAGTTTAAGGGGAGATGGCTACGTTGCTTCTTACGACATAGGCTGCTTTTACACAGC